TAGAAAAGAATAAAGATTTGATATTTAAATAGTATTTAAAATTAGCTATTATGAAACATAATTGTAATAATAATAATTATTTAATTGGATAGAATATTATAATTTTAGAAATATTGAAAAAAAAGATAAAGGAAGACTTTTTATAGTATGCAAAACAATATATAAAAGATAATATAAAATATATAAAAAAGTTGCAATTAAGATAATAAATGTCACAGATTAAAATGAAATTTGAACAAAACAAAATTTTTCGGTTTTTTAAGAAAAATTTAAAATTTTTTGGAGACATTTTTTGGGATTCTTTTTAACATTAGGGTAGGGTTTAGGATTAGGTTTATTAATAAATGAATATATGTAGATTTATATATTCTAAGAGTGGGCATAAGAGATTCTCAGTTACATTTTAATCAGATTTTATTTTAATCTGTAATAATAAATAATTTGCATCAAAATAATCTATTTTTTTAAATGATGTATTATTTTTTTTATATATAAATTTATACTGTTTATAAATTAATTTTTTAGTTAAAAATGCATTATAAATTTAGAAAATATTATAATATATCAATAAATAAGAATATTGAAAATTTTATTTTAGTAATAAGTTATACAAAATTTGAATCATTGTATAAAAATATTAAAAGAATATTTAAGTTAAAATAAAAAATTAAATTAAAAATATTATGTAATATTGTTTATTATCTATTATATATTTATTTAAAAAATTTATATATTGAGATTTACATTCAAGTAATATTTTATTAAAAAAACAATATAAAGCTTATATTACTGATTTAGATTTATCAATAATATTTAATAAAAAATAAAAAGATCATATTTATAAAGTTTTGCTATATTTAGCATTTGAAGTCTTGAAAAGTAAATCATTTACTTAAGCTACTAATTTTTATAGTTAAGAATTATTATACTAATTAGTGATTTGCCAGTCAACCAGAGAAGACTGCAAATTTTTATAAGTAAATTTTACTATTGAGCCAAATGTGAAGTGCATCAATCTAAAACTTTTGTTATAAGCCCAAGAGTGATTTACTTAGTAAGAAAAAGGTTTTAGATTAGTATACTTCACATTTGGCTTAATAGTAAATAAAATTTATTTATAAAAATTTGCAGATCTTCTCTGGTTGACTGGCAAATAATCAAGTAAAATATCAATTATTAAAGACTTTTTAATAGTTACTGAATTAGTAATAAGATTTGTTTTTTTTTATATATTAAGGTGAAGTTATGCTTCTAATTTTATTAATATATAGAGGAAAGTCAATAGAAATAGAACAAATTTATTAGATAGATTTGTCCTATTTTTATTAACTTTACCCTATATACTTATTACAACAAGTTCTTTATATATATACTAATACACAACTATAGAGACTTAGACTAATTTATTTATAATCTAAACCTACTAGAGTGTTTCATGTCCTACCCATATCTCATCTAACTTTGTGTTTCTCAACTAACTATTTTTAGTAATATTACATTTCCTCTATATCTTATACAATCAGTTATAACTTCTAATTTAATACATCAGATGTCTGCTTTTAATAAACTCTCAATTTAGTATATCTACAAGCATAATTCACTGCAAATTTCTACTAAAGTACTTTATTTGTATAATAGAAATAGCCTTTCTATAGCCTTGTATTTCAAGTTAGAACTTGCTGCCTAGTTAGGTTTACCACATAACAGAGTTGATATTATATTGTCAAATTAAGAACTTATCTTAGATTTGCATTGCCTTAACTGGTTTGCATTCTTTTATATGCTATATCTTTTTATAATGTCTTAATCTTTTACTTATCTGCCTAAATACTACTAACTTATATCTCAAGTCAAGCATTGCTGCTATTGCTGGTTTGTCTACTTCAGAACTTAACATTCTTTTTTTGATATAGTGGTATTAATTAATTTGATTATATTTTTTATATAAAGTATTACCAAAACTATATTGTATAGCTATTTTAATAATCTATCTTATTTTTTATTTTTTATTTTTTTAAATTTGCTGTATATATGATAAGATTAGTTACAGATTTGTATTAAGATGATATTAATTTTAAACTATCTATTATATCTTGTATAACTACCTAAGTGTAGCAAAACACCTCTTAATTTTCTATTTATAAACTAATTTAAGACTAGCTACCATTAGTTATAGAGGGAGAAAAAGGAAGCCTAGCTAAATACTTAAATAATATTAAATTTGAATACTTATTTAATATTCCTATTTGTCAAATATAAGGTTATGCTTAATTTAATTTTATAATAAAGAATTAGTTTTATCAGAATTAGAAGCATCTCTGATAATATAAAATAAAAATATTATAGAAGGCAAAGATATGGAAATTGTTTAATATTCTAAATATATGTAAAGATACTAAATTAGGCTTTGGTTATATCTATATAGAAGTTTATAATGAACAAGTTTAGAATCTATCAACCTCTAGAGTTTATAATTTAAATAATAATACAGTATTACTAAGGTTAGTGTAACTCTCTGAATATAATTAAAATTGTCTTGGTCTTGTATAATAACATGCTGAAAGCAAGTATAATATGATAATATAGTATCACTAGAGTTAATATAACTCCTTGGATACAACCAAAATTGTCCTATATACTTACAAAATATGTTCTAAACTTTATCATAGCAGATTATACTTAAAAAATAGAGGAAAGTACTGAAAGACTATATAACAGTATGATCTAAAACATTTGTAGTTAAGCTGTAGCAGCAACACTGACTTGAGATATAGGTTAATAATACCCAAGCAGAAATGTGAAAAGAGATATTTAATAATAAAATATCAATACTGTTATATAACAATCTAACTAGACAACAGTTTCTAGTTTGAGATATAAGTTCCTGTAGATTCTAAACTAATATCAGAATACTTTAAAAGAAAAAATAATATAGCACACCAAACTAGATGATCATTAAGATCTATAATCTAAATGTTATTCAAGTAGTAGATACTCTAACTGCTAATATTAGTCTCAGCCATAATATGCTAGTAATGCAACTAAAATATATTTAGACATCTATTAGAGCAGTCAGATAAATATCAGAACTCTGAGTTAAATTAATATAGCCTAATTCTAGATTATAATATATTTTAACAATTATCCCTTAGATTGTAATAGAATACAGACAAATTTGCCTGCGTTTTTGCACTTTTTTGGCTCTGATTTACTTTTATAAAAAATTTAAATAATTAAATAAAACTTTGTACAATTATATTTGAAAATAAAGATTCCTTTTTTGCAGTATTTATTTTTAAATTATAAGAAAAAAATTTTATGTTACTTATGAACCTAAAATATATAATTTTAAAAGGAATTATCTATATGTATCTGATGGTACAATATACCCAATCACATGATATATAAATATATTATGCATTATTAAGCTTATAATACTACAATATAATTATTTAAAATAGTGTAAAATATATTGAATCAAAATAACCTAAAATTTAGAGTTAGTGTCAGAATTATGTTAATGCAAACTGGGTTTTTATATTAAAAAACCCAGCCAGCATCAACATAAATTCCGGCCTGCACTGAACCTTAAAATTCTACTAGGGGTTATTTTATGCTAAATAAAATAGAATTTCTCTTTTTATACAGTATTCCTAATAACAACTATGTAATTTACCCCATTTGAGAATTATCTAAAGCCAGGTAGTAATTTATATGCCTCATGTGACTTTTATATTACAAATTTATTATCATTATTAATCAACTTAAAAACTATTTGGCTTTAGACAATCACCCTATTTGACAAGTGTTTATCATTACGTTTTAAGTAAAATTATGCATTTGTTTGTCACTAAAGTGCTTTGTGTATTGCATATCATATTTATCTAAGTAACATAAAGTAGCATAGCATGAAACTGTTGAAATTTTAATAATACATATGTACGTACATACGTATATACATATCAGATATGGACTTGTAAAAAAAATTTTTTCAGGATGTGGTGACTTAGTGTAGTTGATAAGTTGTCGCACCCCCAAGTAGCAGGACAAGAGTTCGAATCCTACTAGTAATGAAATTCAAATTTGCGGAAATGCGTTACAGTAAAACTGTATAACATATCAATCAGGTAAGCACCTGTAACTTTGGTCTCACCAACTTGTATTGGGAGGTTGTGGAACATAGTATGATGCATAAGTTACATAAAACCTGAGTGAAGCAGCCAAATAAATCTAAGAGATTGGGGGATACAAAAGCCCGCTTGGGAAGTTCTAAGTAGAGAGGTAGCACAGATCTTTGATAGCACTATGTAAAGAATTATTATCTGGGGAACCAGACACCATAGGTAAAACTGAACGAGGACCGAGTGTTTGACAAGCACTACACCAACCAGGCTGCTGGATCAGCTGGAGGAAAAAGGATTCATTTGGAATACTAGAGGACGCCCACTAGTCCCTTCCAGGCCATCTGAATTGGAAGTTTAGAGAACCGACGGTTAGCATCAAAGTATTGTTGATAGTCCGTAAAGTGGGTGCTAGGGTTTGGGTGAACTCTACAAGGGCAGGAGTAGGTAATGATAGTGGCTTCAGCTCACAAGTACTCGTTCTCAACTTGGTGTAAGTTACCGAAAGTCTAAGTTAGCCGGATTGTGAGTATGGAAAGCTCTAGCAATGATGCTTCAAGAATAAATTAGTTCTAAGGCTACAGTATACATCTGGAACTCTTGACTGACAAATATAACAGAGTGTTTCGGTAATACAAGGGGCAGTGTATGTTATAAAGGATTTAAATAGATAATCTCATAGTTGGGTTATAGATATGGCAGCTAGTGTAGTTCATGCGGGTTACGTATACAAGACTGCTTAAATAGACAACCAAAAGTTGTATATATGGCTAGTTGTATTCTCTAATATAATTGGGGTTTCGTTGTAAGCTCCCCACCTATTATACTTGAATAAAAACCCCTATGCCAAAGAAGCTAGTTAATAAAAAAAAAATTCTTTCAAAACAATACTACATTTTTATTAAAAGGTGATAGATCTGTTAACTATATACACATTCATAGTAAACCTTTATTATACAATACATAACAATAATGATTTACTTGTTATACCTATTATGCGTATACCTAAAAGGCAGCTACAAAAAAGTTTTCTATTAGTAACTTGCTACAATATGAAACTCTGAATTAAGCATAAAATACTTATCTTTTCATTATATGCAAATATGAAAATTATATACTGTATACATCTAAGTAGAAATAGTTAATCTAAATATATAATATAGCATAATATTACTCAGCTCATTACAATTTGAAAAAAGCTCTAACTCTAACGACCAAAAAAGGATTCACAAAAATAATTTTGATATTTAAGACCTCTTAACTATAAATTCTATCTTCTAGCTATAAATTCATATATAAATTCAATTAAATTCTTATAAATCTGCTATTAGATAATACATAAATACAACTTTAATTTTCTAACTAGTTACATATTCAGTTAATATTTGAAGTTGAAATATTTTAAATTCTTTTCTATAATAAAGGTGCACAATCTATTAATTAATATGAATATAAAAGGCCTTGCCGTTTATGCTATGCTTCACAATCAGCTTTGTAATGACCTGTGTTTTGATACTGCTGACATTGTGTTAGTTTTCTTGCCTTTTGAATTTCCAAATTTTGCTTAGTACTAGATTTGCTTTTTCCTTCAAATTCATGTAATTCTTTAAATCTTTTTTTCTTGGAGCACCCTTTCTTGAATTGATTGTTAGATTTTTGACTACAATAAAATCTTCATCATCAGAACTCAAGGTAGTCTCATCCTCATCTTCATATTGTTGCCTTGCATTTTTTCTGTTAATTAGTTTATCCTTTTTATTTTTTGGCCTGTATTTGGTGATAAACCCATTCATGAACTCTTCAAGCTCTTTTATTGCACTAGAACCAGCATCTATTCCAGTTTGTATAGCCTTTTTTGACAATCTGTTAATCATTACATATGTTTTATAGTAATTAACCTTAGCATTAATATCATTAATTAAAATTTTTGATAAACAAAAAGATAAATCTGAAAAGAATTGCTTAGTATGAGCTGAAGCTTCTGCAGTTATATTATCACCTAATCTAATAATAAAAGTATGCTTCTGTGTCTGTGATTCTGGCTCAATCTGTTTTTTGTCAGAATACCATCTTTTTGATATGAGCATAATATGAAACGAAGTATGCTTAGATATTGTCATAACTTAAAAAAAATGTCTACAGACAAAACCGCATTGGGTTAACCCAAGATATATATATAAATGTGAGTTATTATTAAACAAAATTACATAATTTTTTGCATTACACCTGTGACGAATAACTTCTCAAATTTCAACAATTGATGTGATTTCTGCAGATGAGATTAGTTTATTAATTAAAATGGCAGAAGCATCAAAAGCATCTTCAACGAAGAGATTAAGGATATCAAATGTATCAGAATTCGTCAAATCAGAATCAGAATGTTCGATTAACCTAGTTGAATCAAATTGCAATTCAGAATCTTGAAAATTGATAAGCCTTGGTGTATACCATATAGCTTGTGCAATTTCTTGCTGCTGAATGGACAGAGAATATGGTGTTAAGTAAGTAGCAATCCATTTGTCGATGTCTGGTGAAAATTCAAAACTGGCGTGATTAAGTATAGATCTTGTAATAGAATTGATTCGGTTTTTATACTAAACAAAAGTAGACATGTGATTAATCTGTTCATTGATATATTTTACAAGATTAATTAAAGATGTATTACTATTGACAAAATTTTTTATAATAGAATTTTGACTCTCTACTTGCTGTATCAACTGCATTCTAGTAGTAAAAATTTTAGATGTATAACAGAGGGCCTATTGTTCTTTTTCATTAAAAAGAGCATGATTAAGATAAGGAGCAGTGTCAGTAAATTTTATTAAAAGCTTGTCCCATAAATGATTGAATTGTTGAAATAACAGAGAATTGTGCATTTGGTACCAATCTTTAGAAAATTCATTATACTGTTCACCCAGTTTTGCTTTCAAATTTTTTATTAAGTTTTGCCCAATATGATAAATGCAATGTACATGATATGTATTGGGTAAAACATTAGCAATTGCGACATTAACAGCAAGGTCATTATTGGTTATAATCATCAAAGGTTCTGCTTTAGTATTTATAATTAAGGTTTGAAAAACCCATTTATAACTTTCAGCTGTTTCGTCATTAATAAGAGCTTGCCCCACCAACCTAGACCGATTGTTATTATCCACAATCACAAAAAAGCCTAATGGTATTTTAAATTGATTTGTTGAATATGTATTGTTATGCTGGATAACATCCTAGTATTACAAATACAAGTCATACTGGTCAGGTGATATCCAAAATAGAGAAGTAAAAGAATTATTTGCAGAGTCGACTTTCCAATTAATAACCCATTTAGTATTATCAGCTTTACGTTCAAGAAGGTGATTGAGCAAAACTGCAGCTTCAT